ATATGGTGCACCATTCAGACTGCACGTGTCGATATTCTTATTAAGCTCACGTGAGTCAACAGTTTGTGGTTCATTTCCTATTTTGTCTAATAGGCCTTTATCTAATTACTGTAGTTCTCAATTGTAAAGCATTTTCGTATTTTTATCTTTCAGGATGCCAATTCTGATTGTGTATGGCGCAGAAACCTCTACCTTAGATCAGATTATAATGGCCATTCCAGGGGCGGTGCTGAACGTCAAGTTGGAGGAGAAGCTGTTGGAAAATAGTGATCCTTCAGCACACATCCTACAGCTTGCTGAACTCAGAATTCAAAATTTTACTTCAATCATAGACGACATTAAGCGTTCTATTCCCAAAGCAGAATTTGACGGCTGGAGGAAATGGGCTATGGCGAACACAACGATGCTTCTACAACAGGCAATTCTTCAGCGCGGAGTAGAACAATGTCAATGGTAGTATGAGGTTTTCACCTTTCTTCTTTTTCGTCGTTAGGGAAACACTTGCTGCCGTTTGAAGCTGCCTTTCAAATTTACTTTTTGGTTGGATATTTTTTTGCTTAACTGGTGTGTGTAGGCATACTGTGGTGCATCCAATCAATATTATGGAAATAAAGATTTGGATTTGGAATTTCGGAATTTGGGTGCTCCTAGCTTGGGTTGGAATATTGATGAAAATTTGATCCACCTTTAATACAAATGCGAAGGCGTCACTAAGATCAAAGCAGCTGATGATCACAGATAGATGTCATTAATAATAGAAGTGAGTTGATTTAGAAAAGATATGTGCCATGCTAAACAGCAGTGATCCGTCAAAAAACATATGAATAAGTGCTAGGAATTCTATTGATTTTTGGAAAAATTGCAATGTTAATGGCAATAATTTCTGGTTTATTACTACAATCCAGTAGAGTCGGAGTGACTTGAGATTTAATTAATTCTCAAGAATTCTCTATAATTAATTTAGTATCGATCGGCCTGTTTTGCTGACGGCGTGGGTTATTATCTACACAGCTGCGAAGTTAAACTTCTGACACGTCTCATAGCTATGGGTCACCACATGCGAAAAGGCGTCACCCTTCTGACAGGCAGCTTATGCTCGTGTATACGCGAAAGCTTAATATGCGAAAATTGACTATGTGGAACGTTTTTGATGAGTAACATCGCTTACGCCAAATAAAAATTACAATCATGCTTGATACCACAAAAAAGGAAAGCAGTTATTCAATTTGAAAAGGACATGTTTAATCATATCGTATATCTTTACCGCATTTATAAATAAAGAGATTTGCTCGTTGATAAATAAACTGCAATGATGGAGCAATAAGCCAAAAGAAAAATTACTGCAGTCTAAAAGTTTCTGTGCTGTGACTGTTACATAAATGGAGATTATTGAAGAAAAAATTTTTTGTGGCATCCATAGAGACGAAGTTCACAATCTGGGGAAGACAATATAAATATAAATATAATTTAAATATAAATTTAAAAGAAACGCACACAACAGGTATTTATGAATACAATATATTCTGGATGTGGTGGGGTTTATCTAGCAGTATGAATATTCACTTCAAATTAGCTCAAAGTTCGATTTGTTCGCAAGCGAGTAATTCGAAATTTATAAAAGTCGTACTCTACCTTCTTGCTTGAATAGCCAGTTAGGAAAATGTCAGCGTCTTTGGCTGCTAGTTGCCTTGGCGTACGCCCAATCTGCTTACATTCGGAAGTGCATACGTACACACAATCAAACCTGACTGGCAATGGCAAAGCAGCCTTTGTCCGTTTACTGAAGGAGTACTAGTAGGGCTTGAGGAGAAGAGATTTGTGGCGTTTTATCTTTTTATATGGTACTCCGCACGTATAGTGTGATTGTATTCGGACCGCTATCACCCTTTCCGGGTAAACTTATAAGTATAGGCTTTTTAGAAACGAATGTTCCATCAATTTTGGCTGTAGAGAGTTAATGTACTTCTGAATAAGGCGTGCAGGATAGCCACGGCTGTGTTGATGCAGTAAAGCTCTGCAGTTAGTGTCTCAATAGAGTAAGTGTTCCTTGCTCGATGGAAAAAGGTATGCGCGAGGTTTTGTTTCGCCTAAATTGGTACAAAACTCAGGAAATACAGGTACCACCATTTCCACGAATTTCATGGAAAACCGAATGTCATATTGAACCATTTTCTTGTCTAAGAATGACGATTTCTAGTAAGGATAGCTTGTTGTGCCCTTCTGTTTCCATTAAATATTTAATATTCGGATGTAGGGTATTCATAAAAGTGAGAAAATCATCATTGTTTTCCTTAGAATCAACAATCGTCAATATTTCGTCCACATACCTTGTGCACGATTTTGTCATATTAAGTCTAGGCGACGCCTTTTCTTCTGGATGACAAATTAAAGCATCCACGGCTGGAGACCTTGGACAGCCAAAGATCGAAAAACCCTCGAAAGAGTACAAAGACGCGCAACACACTTAGTACGAGGCCAACGGATTCTCCCTTATGAGATCCACTTGGTAAATCTTGACTTTTTTCTTCTGGATTGCATGTAACTACGTGGGGACCTAATCCACGCATTTCGCATGTTGCGTGGCTAGGATTGTTGCCTCGAAACAAAAAATTGCTTTGAGCATACCATTACCTCTAGTCACTTGAGATTATGTTCGTCTACCTAGTGTGAGCATATTTATGATGCACTTTAAATATTTATCTGATTCTTAAGTCGCCTGGAAATATCCTTTGGTTAATTTAGTTATCTATAACTTGATTTAGTGAAACTGGGGAACAACAGAAGTGCAGCATTTGACGAAACCGGTCTTTGAAATAAAATCAAGGACGGTAATTAGATACCAAACTGAGTCACTGCAACATTATTAGTCCAATCGGGTCCTAAGTATTGTCTGGTGGCAATCATCCGAGCGGCCACCATGCGCTGTCTATTTGAAGTTGATTGGTTGGACCACGCGAGGTCACGCCGCGATGTGGGCGCAGCCGAGACTGGACGTGTTAGTGGGTGACGCCACAGAGATTGAGCGAGAGGAAGACAGCGTGCGGGCAGTCAGCATGACCGCAGCCATGGCGTGATGATTCAGTGATCACGGGTTCCCACAGTGGCGCTAGCGCCCACTTCGGATTCGGGAAGCAAAGATTGAAACAAAGAAAATAGTTCCAGTTCCCTTACCTAGATTGGTTTTCAGCATACACTTAACTTACTGGCTGACTGCATGCGAAACTTCTATGCTGCCTAGTTGTGTTTAAATGTCGAGGTGAATGCTGACG